GCGTTCCCTCCATACGCCTCTGGGTAAAATCCGCCGACACTTCGGCGTGCGGATGACGCTGTCGTCGTCGTCGTCGTCGTCGTCGTCGTCGTCGTCGTCGTCGTCGTCGTCGCCGCCGCCGCCGTTGTCGTGGTCGTCTTCAGCAGTCCCAGGAAATTGAGGAACAAGGACATTGAGGAACGTCGAAGTACAATCGAAGGGAAGCTCCTTCCCTTCAATCCCTTCCCTGCCGAAGGGGGGGGGGGGTCCTTGTCAGAATGCCGCCCCCCTGGGGTCCCGGAAAGTCCTTGGGGGGGGCTTGCCAGCGGGCGTCCTGGGGGAGGTCCCACCTCCAGGGTCGGCGCCACCGGCCGAAAGGGCCTTCGCAATAACATCGAAGCGGTTTGGGAGACGAGGGCCCCCTCACAGCCGACGGAGTCCGGAGCGAGCTCCGAGGCGGCGGGGCCCTTTTGTCCGCGGGAGTGCACACAGGAGCCACTCGGGCAGCGGGCCACCGTCCGGCACCCTGCCTGCTGACTGGTGCGGCTCGGGGATGGACAGAAGCCCCTTTGGTAAAACGTGGTCCAGTGAAAACGACCTCGGGCCCAGACCTGGCGGGCGCAGGCCTGGAACATGACGGCCGCGGCGCCCTCTCGAGAACCGAACGCGGACAGTTCGCCAATCGACGTGTCAGGGGTGGGAGATCTGCCCATCCCCCGAGCATGACAGGGAAGACCGAGCTGGCGGGTCCGGGAGGCATCGCGGTCACCCGGACGGTGACCAGACCTGGCCGCGTCGCCGCTCCGCTCGCAGGATCGTCAGGCTCCGGCAAGCCGAGGGCCGGCCCCCGGCAGGGAGGGGCCGCGGGCAAGGGCGGCCCGTTCCGCGCGCGCGGCCTGCCGATGTGGTTGCCCGCGATGCGGCAGGGGCGGCCTGCGCGCTCGGGTTAAGTCGGGCCTGTCCTCCTACAGGGGGATCTTGGACGGAAAATTTCAACGACGCAAAAAAAAGAACCAAATGGCCAAAGCATATTCAAAGAAATGGTCCCCAGACTTTTTTGGGACTATTCTTGAACATTCCCCCCGTGGAGGGACGGGCCCGACTGAACGCTCGGGTGAGGCCGCTCCCCGCGCCCCCCGCAGAGGCCGCGCACCAGCGGGGGCGCAGGGGAGCACGCGCGCCCAGCCCAGCGCTGCAGGCTCGGAGAGCTCCAGAGGCCCCGGGGGGCCAACGAGCAGGCGTGTCCCGGGTCCTCCCTGCCGCTCGTGGGCGCCTGGAGCTACAGCTCCGCCGTGTGCTTCTGCAGGACCTCCAGCAGCTTCTGGGCCTTGCCCGACTGTTCGAGCTCGGCAATCTTGCCCGATCCGCCACCGCGCCTTCGTCGCGATGGGGCGTGACAATGACTGTCAAAGGCTGTCTGCCGGGGAAACGTAGGGCCCGAATCCAGTCTGAAACTTGATGAGAACTGACGCTACAAAGATCGCACGCAATTGGACCGTCATTCAAGACGGGACCGTCAAAAAGCGTCGGCGAATCCGAGTTCCGGCGAACTCGAGTCTTACATTACCCGGAGTCTGGTCGGGCTTCTGACAGAAAACAATCCAGAATGCTTTTCCATGGAACACAGCCCCATCATGTGTTATCACGCCTCAGCCAGCACAGCAACACTGCCAATTGCCCCCCATACACACAGACACACACACACACACACACACACACACACACACGCACACACACACACACGCACGCACACACACACACGCACACGCACACGCACACGCACACGCACACGCACACGCACACGCACACACGCACACACGCACACACACACACACACACACACACGACAGCGGCGCTAAGCAAGCCTGCTGCCCGCGGTTCCCCTCGAAGCGTGCCGTCGAGGATGTGTGCAACAGGAGGGAGGAGCAACGCAGAGGAGGACGCGGGCCAGAAAAAAGAGACCACGGCGTTGTGGACGGGAACGCCCCATGGCCCAACCCGCCACGCATGCTACCCGCACAACGGCAGCCATGAAGGGGAGGAGGAGGAGCAGGAGGAGGAGGAGGAGGAGGAGCAAAGAGAGACGAGGACCAACAGGAATCGTACCCTGAGCCGTGTCTGCACAGAGAGCTTCGTGCTGGCATCCCTCGGGAGCTGGGCGGGCTCCCCAGGTCTCCCCACGCCGGGCGCCTGTTGCCGCCTCGTCCCCGCCCCGTGCTCTGGCAGGGTTCCCTGGGCGTCCCCGCGGTGGGCGCCTCGGCACCGCCTCGCCGCCGACCCCTGCGCCTCGCTGGGTGAGTGGTCGGCTGAGCCGTTGGGGTTATCGCCTGGTCGCCGCCGCCTCGTGGACACACACTATACAGTTAGCCTGCAGCACGTGGGCTGCCACCCACGGAGTGGCACACGTGGGCCAGGAGGTCGGCTCTTTCTTCTCCAAGAGGCTGTTGGCCAGCCTGGACCCCAAACAGTGAAGGATTGCACTGAGGAGGTGACGGCTATGCGGTGCGAGCTTCGTGGTGTAAGCTATGCCGTGTGAGCTGTCTGATGTGAGCTATGGGGGTGAAAGCTATGCGGTCTAAGCTAGGTGGTGCAAGCAGTGCGGTGCAAGTCATGCGGTGTAAGCTAGGTCGTGCAAGCTATGTGGTGCAAGCAATGCGGTGAAAGCTGCGCGGCAACGTGGCACTCCCCCTCGCCGCCAGCCTCCAGACACCAGCACAGGAGCAGGTGAGAGCAGCAGAAAGCAGACGACAGGGTGGCAGCATTTGCCGCAGGCCGCTGGATATCTCCTCCCTGCTCTTCGCCTTCCAGCTTAAGATTGCGCTCTGCGTCCTGTGCGTGCAGCCGTCGCCGGTCTTGTAGTCGCAGCCGTCGTCGTTGGCGGGACCAGGGGCGGCCTGGCTCTCGCCCCTCGGAGCTCCACACCTCCACCGCCGAGGTGGCCGATGCCCCAGGTACGAGGACGATACCCATGCAACGTACGGTAGGTTCGTGCGGCGTCGGCGCGCGCAAAGGTTTTTGACACCGCGTCGATCGTTCAACCTAGAATCGATCGTGGCCCCGATCGTTCAAGGTTGAATTCAGTCGGGTCCAGTGGCGTTACCGTGTCCCTCGGCGCTTCCACGTCGCAACGTTCAAGCTTGAACGCTTTCGCCGGCATCACTGGCGCGCCAACGCCGCAGGAACCTCGAGTACCATGCCTGGACTCCTTGCAGGGCCCGCTCCAACGTGGCAGGGCGCATAGCAGCTCAACTCTGGGGAGCTGAGAAACTGTGCGCCGTACCACTCCTGTGCCGTGGACCGACGACGCCTCGGTAGACGCCAACGCGGCACGGGGCACGCCTGTCGCCAGCGGACCAAGACCCCAGCGGGCAGTGGACGTGGACATCCGCCACCGTCCCGCGAGGCACCGAGTGGAGCGCCCCTGGGTCCCTGAGCCTCTGAGCAGCGAGTGCTGCGAGCGCTCGTTCAGACGCAGGAGTTCAGGGCGCTCCCGAGCGCCCTTCGGCCCCTCCGGACGCGCCCCGCCTTATTCTTCCAGGGTTCAAGAATCAGCGACAAGCGTGATGCTTTTGAACGTGTTTGGGTACATTTCCGTAAAGGCGCCCTCGACATCTGGGCCCCGGAGGGGGGCCGAACATATCCACGTGCACCGCCCCGAGGTCCTCGGGCGCGGCCTATAGCAAACCATCCCCTTCCGTGACGTCATCCTCGCCTTTCGAGCTCCCCTCTGGCCGCATACATACGTCTTGGGGCGAGGCGAGGGGGACGTCACGGAAGGGGATGGTTTGCTAGGGGTCGGTTAGGCCGCCCCTGGTCCTGGGGAACCCAGACCCCCGACGTCATGACTTTTTCATAGCGTCGACCCCTCAAGGTCTGGACCCCTTCCCCGGTACCTGTTTTTCATCCTGAGTCGTCTTTTGACAGCCCCGAAGCCCTGCGAGGGGCCCCCGAGGCCGAAAAGGCCCAAAGCCGCCCGTCCTGACTCATAGCGACGCCGGGAAGATCGGCTCACGGAGCGGTGGATGTGGAAAGATCCACGCCTCGGGCGCGGGGCCGGCCGCTTGGTGTCGCCGACGATGTCGTCGATGTGCTTCGGCCGCCGCGGGCCCGACCCAGGGCTCAGCGGGGCGGGGCGCGGGCGGTGCGCCTTCCTCTGCGGCGGCTTCTGCGGCGCCTGGCGCGGGGGCCGCCTCTCCTCGGAGGCCGCCGAAGGCTTCGGGATCCTCGCCCCCTCGTTGAGCACGGTCCGAAAGTCCCGGCAGCCCTGTAGGCCTACTACCTACTACGACATGCTATCAGAACCCCCAAAAGTTCCAAAAACAAAAACAGCGTGCTCCGATCCCAAGCCCGATGTGCTAGGGCAAGACAGTCTCAGCCAGGCATGATGCAAGAACAAAAGGTTCGTAGAATGCTTAGAACACTTCACAAACGGTCGAGGCTCTGCAAGGGCCACCCTCCCCACGGATGAATCGTTCGAGCGTGAGCGCAGACCACACTTTGTGGCACGCACGACGCCTCCGTGCCTGAGTGCGGAGACGAGCTTCGAACTCCCGCTGCGGAGCACCCAGAAAAGGTTCTCAGAACATCTCCTGCTGGGCCCACAGGAAAGCCAGGACGCTTCGCCACTGCTCGACCTTGGGCCGCTCCGACACCGGCCTGAGCCGCTCCGGCCTCACCAGCTCCGGCCTCGCGCGGGCGGCGGGCAGCCGCACCAGCTGCAGCCAGAGCAGGGCCGCCAGCGGCACCATCTGGGCGCCGCGGGGCGCGAGCCGCGGGGCGCACTGCGGGGGCCACCGCGGCTGCTTCCTCGGCGCAGGGGCGCCCCTCGGGTTGCACCCCCAACGTCCGCCAACGTGGTTCTGTCCACAGCCGCGGCCGCCGAGGTCCCGACCGCTTCCCCGGAGGCGTGCTCTTCACCCGGATTCATTTTTGATGGCCGAGGGCTCGGGACATTGCCGCTTGGGGGGCGGGCAGAGGATAGCGTGTCGCGCCGAAACGCGGTAGGCCAGAACCGGCGGCGTGACGCGCCCAGCCAAAAATCCCGACCGTGTCGTCGGAGATCTGGGACCTTCCGTGCTCCTCGTCCTCCTCTTGCTCTTCTTCCTCCTCCTATCCTCTTGGGCACCCCGTAGAGGAGGATGGGGGAGGAGGAGGAGGAGGAGGAGGAGGAGGAGGAGGAGGAGGAGGAGGAGGAGGAGGAGGGAGAGGAGGAGGAGGAGGAGGAGGAGGAGGAGACGGAGGAGGAGGAGGAGGAAGAGGAAGAGGAAGAAGAGGCGGAGGAGCAGACGGGAGGACAAGGAGGGAGGAGAAGGCGGAGGACGGAGTCCTGGGACGTTCCGCGCCATTCCGCGCGGGAGGTGCCGTCGCGACGTGGCCGCGACGGCCGCAGCGGCCGCTCCTCCTCCCCCTCCTCCTCCTCCGACTCCGCCTCCTCTTCCTGTTCCTGCTGTTCCTCTTGGACGCCCCCGAAAGCAGGAGGTGGGGAGGAGGAGGAGGAGGAGGAGGAGGAGGAGGAAGAAGAGGATGATGAGGAGGAAGAGAAAGAGGAGGAGGAGGAGGAGGAGGAGGAGGAGGAGGAGGAGGAGGAGGAGGAGGAGGAGGAGGAAGAGGAGGACGAGGGGGCGGAGGAGGACGAGGAGGAGGAGGAGGAAGCGGAGGAGGACGAGGACGTTGAGGAGGAGGAGGACCAGCGCAAGCCCAAAACTCATCAACGACAGTGCAATAACCCTTCCTCCAAGTTCCCTCTTCGCAGACCCCCACAAACTTTCATTTTGACAACAAAAAGAGGTGCCGGAAGAGAGCCGTTTGAAAATCGATAACTGCGCCAGAAAAATCGTGCGAAATTGCATGACGCCGGCGCACGGGCCCCGAGGGGCGAAGAACAGCCAGGCCCCCACGGGAAACCAGGGGAAGCCGGGCCCCGGTGGTCCTCCTCAGTTTTCGTCGATTGTTCGTCGAGTTCTCGATGGACCTTCGATCTACGGCAGTTCTTCACCGATGTCAGCATCCGGGCGCCGATTTCGGGCACCAAGACCAACAGAAACGAGCCCAGAATGCAAAACGAGCCCCGGAGAGGTTCCTCCTCCTCCTCCTCCTCCTCCTCCTCCTCCTCCTCCTCCTCCTCCCCCGCCGCCTCTCTTCCCTTCCAGCCCCACCCCCTAGGAGCTCGGCCACAGGGAGCTTCCCACAAGAAATCCAAGCCCACGTTCGCAGGATGTCCACTGATTTTCTGGCATAAGAGCGTCGCGCTTTCCATCGTGAGACTATCGAAACCCAAAGACCATAGCACACTGGAGGGAAGCATAGTACGTCATGGCATGGGCTCCCACCCTATACCCTATGGGCCGTGGGCACAACCCTGCCGCCAACGCCTCGGCGGTGGAGGATGGATGAGGGAGGAGGGAAGATGTGTTGGAATTGCGTCCTGATTCGCCAGGGGGGCGATCAGCATGGCGTGGCACTCGCTAGCTGCTGGCAGAAACACGCAGTATCTAGCAACAGGGGCGCCAAGGTGTAAATGCTCTGCCCAACCTAGCCCATACCATCCCCATATCGTCGGAAGGCGCTCAAGGCGCATCACAACGCAGCAGGAGGAGGGAAAAGGCAAGAGGAGGCTGATCAAAGTGGGGAGCAGGTGAGATGGCCTGCGAAAGGGCCGAAAGTCAGCTTCGCGGGCTGGTGCGAGGCGAGGGCCAGCGGGAGTGCACAATTTTCGCACGCTCGACCTACGGCCCGTGCCTGCACCAACGCCGCAGTGCGAACCTCGTCCCCGCCAACAGCCCTGAACTCCATCCTCAGTCCCGACCAGAGTAAGCTGATCGCTAGGACGGGAAGTGGGGAAGGTGAGACTGCCTGGCTTCTCCAATGCTAGTCCCTGCAGGAGACCGACCGAAGAGAGAAGCACCAAGATCGCAATCGAGGCCAAAGAGGGCAGCAACAGCGTCGGTCCTGAGTCACCATACCGTCGAAGTGGAAGGAAGGACATCGACAACGCAGTGCGAGCCACCCCCGTGCGAGACAGGCTGCTAGAGAGCAAGCAAGACCAGAGAGAAGAACGGAGCGAGCAAGCAAAAGAGCGAGCAAGCCCCTGGGGGTGCGTGCCGCCAGAGAGCGAGCAAGCACATAGAGAGGTGACTGAGAGAGGCGGCACGGAAGACGACAGAAGCTTGCAATTCTGCAACTCCACCCCTCCACCCACCTCCAGTCTCCTACCATCACAGGAACCTCGCTCGATCTTCCGACAGGCACCAGCTTACCCGAACAAGCCTCTGCCAAAGTTAGGATCACGGGTCCAAGGGGCCACGTCACGCAGGCGAGCCTGCCTCGCTTCCTGAAGTCTAGCCGATCTTCTGGCACGTGCCTGCGCACGGTTCTGCGCGATTCGCTCCAAGACTTCCGGCGCCAGCGGGACTGGGACGGGCGGGGAAGGAGGGGCCGCTGCCCCCTGCGTGTCTCCAAGGAAAGCTCGTGCATCGGCGTACTCCTGCTCCTCATCCGCCTCTGGTGGGCCCGGAGGTCTAGCCTCCGCCGTAGCGTCGTGAACCTGTGAGGAGGGAGAGGCAGCCTGGTCCGGTGTCGGGGTGTCGTGGAGCGGTCGAAAGCGATCCATCTCGGCATCGTGTCGGGCTCGGTGTGCTCGCCGAGAGACAAAGTCGGGAGCCCACCCCTCGTCGGTGCCAGAATACGGATCCCAGGAGACCAAGAATCGAAGTAGCCCGTCACGTAATCTTCCATCCTCCCCCATGTCGTCCGGAACAATGGAAGCAGCACTAGCACCATCACCCTCCCACATAGCACGCACTGCAGTAGCAATGGCATCAGCAATGCAGTTGCACAGGCTAGCAGGATACGTCTTCTTTTTGGCTGTGCGCCACTCGGACTCCCGCCGATCCGTATCGTACCCAAGAAGCGTTTCGTGCCCGTCCCGACCGTGCGAACATCTGCCTTTCCCTGGTGTCGCACGCAGCGCAGCATGCAGCCCTGGCAGTCTGAGTGCAACGATCCGAGTGGGAGCCCGTGACGTCTGACCATGTTCACATTGATCAAAGTCGGACGTCGTGACTGCAGGGGACGACTGGAGAGCCCGCATCGGGTGACAAGTAAATCAACTAACAGCTTGGAGCCTCCATCCACACGGCTGGGGGTGCTCAAGCCAACACGATGTCCCAGCCTGCATATGGGCCGCGAATAGCTCAAGCATAGCATGGTATAGCGCATTGCCCACCCAAAGCTGTTCCATCTGGCGCTCCGTGACTGCCGTCTTTCCCCCAAACTGATCGTGCGTCCGAAGTGGCGGGGGGCCTTTGCCTTCGGCCCAGCGAGAGGCAGACCAGGTCTCACACGGCGGCCCGCCACCCGAAACGACCACCCGTCGTGCAAGGATATGGGACCTCCATTCGGCAAGTGTGTCACGATTCATAAAGATGACCATCTACTGCATGTATGGCTATATCCACGGACAGGACACATATAGCATAGTCGATGCTGCAGGGAGCCCATTCCGCCTGGGCCTGTACGTCTCCCGCCCTCCGCCGTCCACAAAACAAGTTTAGGACAAAGTAGAGACAGGTGAGGACGGAGGAGGGAGAGGAGGGAGGAGGCAAGAAGAGGAGGAGGCGGTGGAGGAAGAGGAGGAAGAGGAGGAAAGGCGGGGGAGGAGAGAGGAAACCGCCAGACCCTCTGCGGGGACACAAAGTGCCGCAGGCGAAGCAACTATCCTCTGCCACCCAGTCCCAGACGCCAACCCGAGTCCGCCGGCCAATCGATTCCTCGCGCCAGTTAATACTACAAATACCCCATCACCGTCCTCCTACGTATCCGCCCCGTCTTCACCGTCCTTCCACTGACCATTGTCCTGCCACGACTCCCTCCTTTCCCGCCTCCCGCCCATCCTCCTCCGCACCCTCCTGCTCCTCATCTCCTCTCATGTTTGAAAGCACTCACGTCATCCTCTTCATGACCCTCCCGCTCTTCCCCCTCCGACCACTGTTCCTCTTCCGCATCCCGCTGTTTCGTATGCTAGTGCTCAGCATCCTCATCCTCCTCATCATCATTATCTTCTTCCTGCTTATCGCCTTCTGCCGCGTGATCTTACACCCGAGCGCCGCAAAATCACCTTAACCTCAACCTCCTCATACCCATCCTCCTCCTTCAGCCAGTCCTCCCCCCTCCTCCGCGTACTCCTCATTCTCCTCCAACTGCTCGACCTCGTCATCCTACTGCTGAATCCCCCCTCCCAAGCTTCCCCCTGCTCTTTCTCGCACTCCTCATCCTCCTTCGCATCCGCTTCCTCCACGGCCTTCCCTCTGTCCCTCCACGTCGTTTTCCTCGTCCTCGTCGTCATCGTCTTCAGGGTCGGCGGCGCCGGCCGCAAGGCCTTCGCTATCGAGAACTGTGCCAAAACACCATTCCTGGGACTTCAACGCCGCGAATCACCGTTACTGTTTCAGTCTCGACGATCCTGAGTGTGCCAAAAACCCAATCCTGGGACTTCAACAGCGCGAATCAACGCGACCGCTGCGCACTGCCATTCCGACGCCGTGCCAGAACACCACGTCTGGGACGCTCGCCATCGGAATCTTTGAAACTGCTGCAAGCTCTTCGAACGAACGTGCGCGGCGCTCGGGCGAGACCCACATTTTGAAAGAAAGCCGCCCATCATCCGTGAAATGCTTGCGAATGTTTAAAAGGACTGCTCGTGGCGCATTAAAAAAGGGAGCCACATTTTGAAAGCAGGCCGCCCTCCATCCGTGACGCTCTTGCAAACTGTTTAAAATGCTTGCGGCGCTCGGGCGAGAGCCAAATTCTCGAAGCGGGCTGCCCTCCATCCGTGAAACTCTCGCAAATGTTTGAAACGAGTGTGCGCGGCACTAAGGCGAGACCTACATGTTTAAAGCGGGCCGACCTCCATCCGTGAAGCTCGTACACATGTTTAAGACGAGTGTGCGCGGTACGAATGCTTCATGATCATGAATGGTGAAGAAGCCTCAGGCGAAACGACCTGCCCGCCCCTTCGACTGGCATCGGGGTGCGACAAAGAGGAATGCTCTAACATAAAAAGGGATAGAAAAGTCGAGGAGGACGAGGAGAAGGAGGAAGAGGAAGCGGAGGAGGAGTAGGAGGGAGGAGAAGAGAATAGACCCCTCGGGCTATCAGAAATCACGATGGGAAATTCTTCTATACCTTCGGCCTCTAAGGGCCCTCACTGGGCCCAAGGAGTTTTCGCTGTTCTCCCCAAGAACTGGCGACAAAAATTACGACGGGAAATTTTTATATATTTTCGGCCTCTGGGGGCCCTCTCCAGGCCCCGGAACCGTTAAACAACGACTCGGGCTGAAAGACAGGTTCCCGGGAATGGGCCGAGGCCGTGGGGGTCGACGTCGCGCAAAAAACATGACGTTGGGGGTTCTGGGCACCGAGAGCTGAACGATGCCAGCCGATCGCCCACACGCACGAGTGACCTTGAGCAAGAGTGACCTTTGGTGCGCGGCGGCTTTCGGGGGCCGCGGGGGCAGGGGGGGGCGCCAGATCCACGCGCGCAAGCCACTGCGGGGGGGACCCCCGTGGGCCCACACCACATGCCACTGGGGCCAAGGCTCGTTCCTAGGTGGCGACATCTAGGCCCTACCTCCACCAACCATCGATTCTCTTCTCCTGGGTCGATTGGAGGCGGGGGCAGGGTTCGGATTTCGCAGCGTGCTCGACGAGTTCCGAAACCTACCCTCGCTGCCCATCGAGTTGCCCGAATCGTTGATCGGCGAGGGTAGGGTTCGGATTTCGCCGCCGAACGAACCCTCCGGTGCAGCCGACTAGGAGGAGGATGAGGAGGAGGAGGAGGCAGTGGTTCGCCGTAGGCGTCTTCGATATTCTATTTGTTCGGCGGTAGTAGGAAGGTCCCGAAGGACGGCCGGGCCCGCAGGCAGGCCCAGCAAGGTTGTCTGAGCATCGTGTAACCGATTCCCATCCCCGCTGGCATGGCCTTGGCCCCACTGGCCGACCTTTCCCCCGAAGTGGGGGTATAAAAAATGGGCCAGTGGACACAGGGATCGGTTAGACGGTGCCGAATAACGAGGCAGTCAGAGCAGCCCCCCCCAAAAAAACGCGGATGCGCTGGCCCTAAGACGAGCAGCGCGTGGCGTGCAGGAACGGCGCTGCGGCCCTGCCGGCGCTCCGCCCGGCTGCTCCTACGGGTCGCGCGGGAGCTTGAAACGTGGGTGGGGCCCCCACGCTGGCCAAGCGAGGTGCCCGAGGAGAACGCGGGGGCCCGCGGTGGCAACGCGGGGGCTACCCGAAGGGCACACAGCTTGAAGGTACGGGTGCAAGCTGGCCCAGCGGGATTCACGAGGAGCCGGAGGCGGAGTGGAGAGACCCGAGGAGGACAAGAAGATGCTCAAGAAGCCCGATCCTCGAACCTCAAGGGGGGGAGTAGGAGATCTTGTTCCTCGTGGGTTAGCTGGTAAGGGCAACTTGCCCTTCTCCTTGATCAAGGATGGGGGATGAGCAGGAGGATTCTTGACATCAGCAGCCAGAGACCCCAAGTCAATGAGGAAATCGACTAATGCCATGCCGAACACCATTACTACGCACAGCAGCGGAGGAAAAGGAGGAGGAGGCAGAGAAGGAGGAGGAGGGGGAGGAGGAGGAGGAGGAGGAGGAGGAGGAGGAGGAGGAGGGGGGGAGGGGGGGAGGAGGGGGAGAGGAGGAGGAGGAGGAGGGGGCGAGGAGGAGGGGAAGGAGGAATGAGGAGGAAAGAGAGGAGGACAGGGAGGAGGAAAGGGAGGAGGAGGAGGAGGAGGAGGAGGAGGAGGAGGAGGAAGAGGAGAAGGAGGAGGATACTGTCCGATTACAAAGCCTTTGAGGGTGGCTGGCCCCTATATCTGCGCATGTGAGGGCGCAGCCCGAATATGAAAGGGTCAACGCGTGCTGAATAAAAAACCCAAGCATGAGGGGGGTCAGTGTACGAGGGGTCGTTGTTCCCGCATCAGGGATCAACGCATGAAGGCACGCGTCACGGCAGGAGGGATCGACGCATGAGGGGTCAAGGCCTCAGCGATGGGGTCAGCTCGTGGCGGGTCATAGACACAAAATGACAGGTCAATGCGTAAGATGTCCTGCACGAGGGGGTGGGCCCCAGAGCGAGGGGTCAACAGATGAGGGGTCGGACCCTAGCGGATGGTCTGTGCATTCCGCGCACCTTCTGGCCGTAACATAGCTCAACAATTAATATCAAGATACGCAGGACGAGATAGAAATGGCGGCCATAATGCTTTTGCGGGACAGCATGATGAGTTAGAAAGAACAAGTACACCAGGGTAGCAACATGGCGAAGGAGGATGGGGCAGCAGACAGTGGAGGGAAGAAGCAAACCATAATAACATCCGAAGAACAATTGCATCTCATGCGGGGATAACGCTGAGAGGGAGCATCAGTAATATGCCAGTAGCTGGGAGGGGGTGCGTGACTCAGGATCAATGGGGTAGCGGAGGGAGAAAAAAGAAAGAAAGAGAGGAGGAGGAGGAGAAGGAGGAGGAGGAGGAGGAGGAGGAGGAGGAGGAGCAGGGGGCGGGAGGAGGGAGGAGGACGAGGAGGAGGGAGGGAGGGAAGGATGGAGGAGGACAGGGAGGAGGGAAGGAGAAGCGCAGAGTGCTGCAGAGGATCAGCGGCGCGCCGAGGGGGGAGGTCCTCTCAGAAGGCGCCGGTACTTATGAGGAGCCCTCCAGCCTTCCGAGAGGCCTCTGCGGCTTCGGAGAAGGCCCAGAAAGCTTCGCAGAGGTCGGCGACTCCGAAGGGTGTGGTTTGCGAAGGGTGTGGGTTTGCAGCCCACGCCCTGCGGGGGCGGGCGAGGACTCTCTGCCGCGCCCCGAGGCGGCCCGACGAGGGCAGCGTGGTGTCCCCCAGCCGACGAGGATATCGCAAAGAGCCCCCAGGCGCAGCCACACCCTCTGCAGTCGCCGAAGAAGGCCTGGAGCCCTCCGGGCCTTCTGCGAAGGCCCGCCCCCTCGGCGATGTCTCCCCTGGGCGCCCCGCCGTCGCAATCGCTCGGGTGCGCGCTCGCACGCGAGAGCGCGCACGTGTACGCGTCACTCGGGTCCCCTAAAGTCTGGGGCCGCAGGCTTTTTAAAAACAGGCAGTAGGCGACGCCCAAGGGTCGTACACTACTACTGCCTTTTCCGGCGGCGTTGGCCGACCACCTCACCGACCCCGGACCCGGGCCCGATCTATGGGCCCAGGATCGGTGCGAGGTGGCCAGCGGGCGGCCGACCGACCTTTGGCTCTTATCCGGTCACGCTCGCGAGAGAGAGAGACCGTGGTGGCAGATGACGCGCAGAGGATGCAGAAGGCCACTGCGCAGAAGCTGCGAACCGCCTCGGTAAAAAATTCGCGGGACATGATGGCGGCGCAAACTGCCTCTGCGCGTGACGTAACGCTGCGGCGTTGCGGGGCACTGTCTGGCAGAGTATATATAACACCACCCTACTTGGCGCGGGGGGGAGGGGCCGAGTATATATAGAACACCACGCTACTTGGCGCGGGGGGGAGGGGCAGAGGCAGACCCAGTGCAACTGGGCGGCCTCCATCCCCCCCCCCTTGGGCGGCGAGCACGAGAGGCGGCGGGCTCGGCCTTCGGGGGGGCGGGGGGGCACGCCGAGACCAGCTGATTACAAGAACGCGTGGCCGTGGCCGGCCAAGCTGGTCTCGGAGTCGCCCGCCTCTGCCTCCTCGGCCACGCGAGGCCCTGCCCGCCCACGCTCCACCGGGGCCCCGGCCGTGGACGCGCCGTGGCACCCCTGGGCCGCAGCCGCCAGGAGCCCAGGAGCAGCGGCACGCAGCACCTCAACGTCGCCACAGCGCGCGAGCGCGGCAGCGTGGCCATGACCCGTCATGAGCTCGATGAAGTGGTGCGGGACCCCCGCGATGGTTCCCACGACCAGAGCCACGGCCAAGACCACGGCGGGGGCCGCGGCCACTGTCGCCGTGTAGATCCCGCATGCGGACGCTGGCGTTCTGTGCGCCTCCTCCAGGGGTGCGGCTGGCGGCAGAGCGGCCACCTTCAGCGACTGAACATCCCCTGAGACCCGACGCTGCAACAAAAACATGTAACATCGCGAAGGATCGAGACCGACGCCCCAGAGCCCATTTTTCGAGCCAGATCGATCTGTGATGCTCCTGGGGTCCGACTCCGGGCAAGGTAGCCGGAAGTGGAAGCGCGGATCTGGGGGCCCACCTGCGGAGCAGCTCGGCCGCTGCAGAGCTGCCACGGCGCGCTGGCGGCAGCGGCCTCCTGCGGCGGCGTAGCGGCCTCGGCGCTCCGGGGGAGATGGCCGACCTCCGCGCCGGTGGCGCCAGGCACGTCGCGGGAGGCGGCGCCGGCGCCGCCGAAGGGCCCGACGGCTTGGCACTGCAGCCGCGGAGACTGCTCGAGGCCTCCGCCGTCGCGCTGGCCCTCGAGCGCCTCGCGAGACCGCCACGGCACCGGGCCGTGTGGCCCTGCTTGGGCTCCAGCCTGCGCCCTGGCGACGACCTGCTGCTGCGACCTCGGCGGGGGAGGCGGAGCGGAGCGGAACGGCAGCGGCGGAGCGCGGCCTCGGCGCCCTGGGCGAGGCGGCCTTCGGCAGAAAGGGCGGCCGACCTCCAGAAGAGAGGAACAAAACGCCATAAGCATAAACGGTTTGGCGCTCCGTGCGGGTTTCTTGGATCCGCGCTGGGCCCCCCCGGCGGCGCCTCCGGCACCGCCCCTGGTGCGCTCCGCGCGCCAGGGAGGGGGGTCCGGCGCAGATCCAAGAAATACGCGCGGCGCGCCAGGAGTTTTTATCTGTGGCATTTTTTCTTCTAGACCTCCGCGCTGGTGGCGCCAGACACGTCGCGGGAGGCGGCGCCGGCGCCGCCGAAGGGCCTGACCTCGCCCTCACGCCAAAACGTTCCTGGGGGCCTGCCGTACGCCTTCGTGAACGCCGGGTGTGCGACGGCTTGGGAGGTTGCTTGACAAGCGGTCGCGTAGTCCCCGTCGCTGGCCAGGGTGCCGTCGCCGTCGGAAGGGGCGTAGCTGGGCCGTGCTGGAACGAACACGGGCGCGTCGGCATTGGGCTTCCAGGCCCCGAACTTCTCGAGAGACTGCCACGGCACCGGGCCATGTGCCCCTGCCTGGGCTCCAGCCTCCGCCCAGGCGAAGACCTGCTGCTGGGACCTCAGCGGGGGAGGCGGGGCCTGCTGCGGTGAGTCCAGGGCGCCGCCGTCCCCTGCGGTGGATGCCGTGGGGGAAGCAGCGCCCCGGTGGGCATCCACTGCCGACGTGACCCGCTGCGGGCTGCCGCCTGGGGAGGGGCACTCGCGCCTTTCCCGACCCCCTTCGAAATTGTGTCGCCGCGGGGGGCGATCTTGCACTGTTTCGGGCCCTGGGGACCCTCACGGATCGACCCGGCTCGAAAGCATGCCGCGAAAAGATGGGATCCAAAGATGCCCAGTCGAATACTTGTTTCTGGGGAAACCAAAAGGTGCCGATACCGCTACTCCTCGGACCTCTCCCCGGGTGCGTTCTGACCAGAAGTTCGAGGCGAATCCAGCGGTGGCGACGAGGGCCTCCCAGGAGGCCCAAAAAGGGGAAAACGAGGGAAGGGTAGAGGTATGGGTACCCTTTCCTCCTCTGAGCTTCAGGATGTTACCATGTGCTCCGTGACGTCGGATCTCAGGGTCGCTCCTCTGAGCGTGAAAAGGTGTTCCCCTTCGGCTACACGCCAGGGTGGCCCTGGGCAAGGGTGGGCACGTGGGCTCCAGAAATCCTGGCCCCAGAATGCTTGTTTGAAGGGGCCCTGAGACACACTAATAAATGGACACGAGCCCCAGGATCCCCCATATGTTCTCACATGTTCTGGGTCTTCGTGCCCCCCCCGACTTCCAATGCTTTCCCCTATTGTCCTGAGCATCGAGGATCAATGGTGTCTGTGTGTGTTTTTCCCTTCCTGCACTTGGGTCATCTCTTGGGGGGGCAACTCTTAAGTGACTCCGCCGCCGTCCGCCGGGCTTCCGCGGCTTCCGCCGCCGGGGAGCCGCCCTCGTTTCCCTCCGCCGCCCTCCGTCGCTGTCCGCCGAGGAAGAGGTGGCAACTCCTTCGATCCTCGAGGGCAAGGCGCTTCCTGTGGTGGGAGGAGGGGGGGGAGGAGGAGGAGGAGGAGGAGGAGGAGGAGGAGGAGGAGGAGGAGGAGGAGGAGGAGGAGGAGGAGGAGGAGGAGGAGGCATTCCTCACGTGGCGCGCGGCTTGCCAATCGCTGCGCGCGGCGCGGCAGCAGTAGCACTGCGTTCCTGGGCTCTGGCCCCGCCGCCGCGCCCCCGATGGCCGCGCGCCAAAAGGGCCACCTCCGGCGACAGGTCACCCTCATGCGCAGCCGGCCCTAATCCCTTGGTTCAGAACTCCCCATCCAGACCTCCCAGGATAGCCCAGGGTCGAATCGAGAAGTCGGATCGGCGATCGAAACGAATCGGATGCAGCCCAATCGAGAGAAGTCGACTTGCGCAGGAGTCGGCAGTCTAATAAGGCATCTATGTCCAAATCGGAATCCGAAATCTAATCGAATCGGAATCGGAGTCGATCGAATCGAATCGAATCGGAGGAATCGAAATGAACCCTGGCCTCCCCCCATTACCGCGACGATGTGAATGTTGCCCTCTGCTGCCCACTGAGACCCGACGTCACGATGAGATTGAAACATCGTTCACAAATTTGCCCAGAGCCCCGGACCCCGAATCGAGTCGATCCATGAGGGCATGGGGCCCAAGACGAGGCAAAATCTGCAGCCTTAAACAAATTGCGACGCCAAGATCTCAGTGCATCGTGCAGTGTGCGAACCCGTAAGGAACAGCCGTGTCAGGAGGAGGCGGAGGTCTAGGAGTGCCCCGGAGCCGCCGTCGGGGCTTCCGCCGAACCCCTCGCTCTCGTCCGCCGCCGTGCCGCCGGGCGCGCCGTCCGCGGGCTCCCAGTGACCCTCGCTGGTGCCTTTCGCACTGCCCTGCTCGGGGAACTTCAGCCGACCACCTCGCCGATCCAGGCCAGGCCTGCCCTGGGCCCAGGGGTCGGTGTCCACTTGGCGGCGCGCGCAGGGGGGGTCAGGGGCAGGGGGGGGAAAGGTTCTTAGGAGGAGGCTGCTTCTCAGAAGGCGCTGGCCCTGCATATACAAACAAGGCCCGCGCCGCCTTAAAAAGCACGGGTGCCTCTAAGAAGCCTCCCCCCCCTCCCCCGTGATTGCCCCCCTCTGCGCGTGGCCGATAAACCCCTCCTTGGCCAAGGTAAAGCGGCTTGGACACCGATCCATTGGCGCAAGCTGGACCTGGCCAGGATCGGCGCGGTGGTGGGCTGAAATCGCCCGACCTGCCGCGGTACCTCCGCGAGAGCGAGCGCGCGCGGATCCGCCAGGGTGCTCCTGCAGGTCGTCGGCCCACAGCTCGGCGCCTCCGCGCCGAGCCCGACCGGGAGCGCGCCAGCGCCCAGCCGGCGGGCGGCCTCCGCAAAGGCCACCCGCAGTTCCGCCTCCTGCGGGGCCGCCAGGGTCTATGTGTATATCCCATGGGGCGCAGGAGGCCACGCAGCTATTTGCCAGGGGAACGTTCCCCGCAAATGTGGGGTGCGATGATGACGTAACATCGGTCTCCTCAGTACTCTGGAAATCGCGTAGCGACATGGCAGCGGCGTCCGTTAAGCTGTGATGCGTGCGATATGCGCAAAAGAATAGGACACGACGACACGGCGACGACCCGACGCGCGCTCCGTTTTCCCCAGGCGTGGGCCCGCGTTACAAAACAACTTTGGAAGCGCAATATGGCCCGACGGCGGCGGGCGGCGGCGGCGGCACAAAGACGGCGGAATAAGAATTCTAACGACTCCCTCCGCGGCGGGACGGGTTCGCGCCCCCACCGGGCACTTTGGCCTCCCCGGCGCCACGCCCCCAAAACAATTTTACAGCGCACAGGGCGGGGTAACAGCTACTACCATAGGAGAAGGCCGAAGTAGACTGACGCACCCCACACTTAAACAGTGCACTTGATCAAATGTAGTTTTGAATCTCCGAGATCAAAAACTTGGTATAGATTTAGACCGGTTGAACCGGCCTCGTCTCTTCCTCTGTGTCTGCCAACGGTTCCTCCGTCGGGAATAAAAATTACGGATGCAAGCATTTGCGTTCTAATTCTGCCGCCTCTGATCACCAAGGCTGTACACGTACTAGTCACAATTCCCCATGTGCTAACGTTGAGATACATGTCATCGGCCGGCCCCTGCAACGTCATGTTCTTGGCATTGCAAAGCTGGCGCGTCGTCGCAGCGCAGTAGCCTCTGACGCAGTGGCAACCCCTGGAAGATTCGTAGCCGACAGATCATCCGTTTGGGCATGTGCGACATCGACCCACGCTCGGCTCGGTCTTGGAGCGGCAGGGGTCCCGGTTGGACACGGCGACACGTCGGCGCATGGGCGCCGACGACGGCGTGGGCAACGCGCGGCGACGCGGCGGCGGCCGGCGGAGATAACGCTTGTTTATCCCGAAGCTGGCGCGGCCAGCAGCCGCGCAGCGCCCTGGGTGCTAGGCTGCTGGTCGACGGCTGAACCAGCGGCCGCGCCTGCCCCAGGCTCTGGAACCATAGTTTCCCATGGTCCTGTGGTCCTACTTTCTCCGAGCGTGACATTGCTGGCAGAGCCGGCAGCGTCCTCCATAACACAAATCTATGCCAAACTGTGCCGTGGCCACCCTGCTAGCAGCTGCCGCGTGTTCGGAAACGACGGCACTCGGCGTGGCCCGAGCTCGAAGCGCGATGCCGCCGCCGGCCGAGCCAGCGACCTCATCGACATCCATTGGGTCTCCGACGCAGGTTGAACCGACAACGAAACTTCCGTGCTCTGTGGATGCTCGCACAATAGCAAACACAATCGGAGCAGTATTTTCATCACGTGCGTCAGCCAGTCGATCCCACAGATCAGCGTTATCACGGGTCGTCTTTTTCATGCCATCCATATGGACCTTGGAACTCACGCAGGCAAGCATGCATCGATCGCGATGCATTTCTCGCCTCGGATATGAAGTTGATCCCCGGACCCTTGATGTATTGCTCTATCGAATCTGAACTTCTGACCGCCTGTGTCATCTCCGCGGCTAATGCATAGGCGTCTCTTCTCCTCGGCCTAGGCTGCCTCGGGCAATGTTCGGATCCGGGCGATGTCTCCAGAACGACTGCATTGTCTGGAAAGTAGCATCACGTTATCCCAGAATGCATATTGCAACGCGTTCTCGGCAATCCCTGAAATCCTAGAAGACCGCGCATCTCAGGGACCTTCGTGCCCCAGAAACGATCGACGCTTCCGGCGACGTATTTTCTGGGGGGGCCGCGGCGCCATCGCCGCCCCTTTCCATCGAATATTCCGACATGCGTTGGGGCGCAAGGCTCTCTGCAGCAATCGCCGACATCTCGACGACAATCGCGGCAGAGTGGTCAGTGGCCAGGTCGATATTTGCCTGGCCACCTTGCCCCTGGGACCGAATCGCAAGGTCTTTGCCTCCCTCGAGAACCCCCCCGCCGTTCTGTCTAAGGCGCGCCGCGGCTCCGCGCGTGCAAGATGGGACATCAATTTAACATTGTCTTCGCCATCGTCAGCGCCTGGGTCGCTGGGCCTGACAGCCACAGGCCGTCGGACGTCCCGCGGGCCAAGGCTCGGCGGAAGCACGGCGCAGTCAGAACACGTCGGCCCATCGGCCCCCAACCCCGCCAAAACAACTTTCCGTCGTGCTATCGATCTTCAAGTGCGACGCGACGATCCTGAAGTTCTTTCATGATCATTGCCGGGCTACCCGCCAACGAATCGAGAGTCGGCGATGGAGTGGCCATCTCAGCATAGCTTGATCGGCCCTCTGTTGCACGGGCACCCGCCAGGCATCTTGCCGCGGGAGGTTTCACCCCCTGCGCGCCCAGCTCTCCCTCGCAGGCCTGGCGGCCGACTGAGGCAACTCATCGCTCGCTTCGTCCCGCGCGAAGGCTACCAATGGCGGGCGCGACATCGGCGCGGCAATCTCATCAATGCACTGCCAGTGAACCGGCCGCCAAGCGGCCGTTGACGTGCCATCGTCCTTGCATTTATTCTACGCTGAGAACCTCCTTCTGAAGAGTTTGAGATATCGGAAGCATGGTTCATGGCGTACCGGAAGTCTATCTGCAACGGTCTCTGCTCCATGATGGAACAGGATCCTGGCTGATTGGCAAGGTCGGTAATGCAACAAGCCGCAATTTCGCGCGCTCGATCCATTACCGTTCATGCCTGGCATAGTCCGACAAATTCGCGTGAACAAGAATCGAGGCATTTCCTTGCACGTTGCGTCTCTCCGTTACTTTCATTTGTTCATTCCCAGGTTCTGTCAGATTCTGAAGGCTGCTGCTGCAGGCTGGAATCCATATTTTCGAACGACTTCGGCACGTGGCAGGCGCGTGTAATCCCAATCTCGCGACAGTTACCTTGCAGCGTGGGCAGTGACCACCCCAGCAACGGAGGATCCACACGTTCAGAGCAGACGACCGCGGGAGGCGAACCATCTTCGACGAAGGGCCCCCGCGAGCTGGGCCAATGGGAGATCGCGTCATGTCCGTCGCGCAACGAAGTGCATCTCGCCGCAGGGAGCGGTCGTGCCAACTTGTACTCAGGGCTCGCGAACAAGCCCTGCTCCCCCTCTGGGTATTGTATCTCCCTTAATTGCGAGTGTAATGCGGCGTTCTTTGATGTGACATGCAAGAAAGGGCCACGAGAGGAAGACATGCTAGTGTAATCGCACGGCGCGTAAATGCGATCTATGTCAACAACGCGAACGACATGCCCGTGACCTGCCCGAAGTGCGACTGGAATTGGGAGGCTTTCGAACGGTTCCTTCATGCGTTCGTTCGACATCTGTCTGTTCACATGCAACTGCTTCCAAAAGGCTCTCAAGGATCGGCCGGGCCGGCGATGGCCACCTGCCCGCGCGCCCAGAATATGGGCGCAGTTGGGCGGTACCAAGGATAGTCCATGCATCGCCAAGCCAACGAGCTGATGATCGAAGCCATCCTTGTGCATTCTCATCAGGATGTCGCTACATGAACACCAGCCCCCACAGTTCCTGACACGGTACGAACAATGTCTGAGACAATACAATACCAATGTTCCAATGGATTCGGCGTTCTCCTTTTTCCGATCGCCGAGCTTTACCAGTCTTTCCTCTGAGAATCGGGGTAAGATGACAAAGGAGTTAAGATCTCATGTTCACTCTGCTCAGGGAGAGCGGAGGCGGGATGAGACATTGATAAGACAAGTATCCGTTAAGCAAGACTACTCTATCAGGAATGTGAAGGGAGGAGGTCGGCCGAGGGCGGACGACGACGAGCCGCCCACGCACCCCAGCGCGCTCCTTTTCTCTCCTGCCAGCCGAGGTCGGCTGGCTCGACCAGTCGTATGGCTGCGGAAACGCAGCTTCAGTTCACGCGGACAGTGCAATGCGTGCAAGCTAAGCTAAGTTCTAATTGAATATGAAGCGGAGAGGAGCATATTTACACCCCCCGCGGCGGGCCGCGTAGAGCCCATCCAGCCACAGCACCCCCGGCCTGTACATTTGCACAACCACTGGAGCCAACCCGAAAAAGCTTTTACGGCTCAACGGTGGCTGCCAGGGGGCCAAGGGCCGAAGAGGCTCGACGTTTCCCACCATTGTGATACACATTTTCTCTCCGCTGGACCGGCTTAGCCGACCAGTAGAGAGGTCCGCGCCCAACGCGCTTAGCGCGTGGGTAAAGTGTTTTGCATGCGCCTGCCGCGGACGGAGTCACGCGGGCCACACTCAGTTGAGGTCCTCGAACCGATTGTGATCGTTCGGCGTGGGAGGAGGCGGGTTTGATGGCGCCGATCCTCCCATCTGTACGTCTACGCCACGAGGCGTCCGAGACCGCCCTCTTTCTCTGTCAGTATTACCAACCAGTGCCGTCTCTCTCGGCGGGGAATGTTGGTCATGCTCCCATGTTGATAGCTTGGTCCAGTAATCCAGATTGCACCATTCATCGTCATTAAGCCACGTGATCCTGTTCCAGTAGATGTAGTACCCTACAAGGATTACATTCACGTAGCACGGGTAGGACTTGTCACGGTTGCATTCGTAGCCCTATCCTGCGACACTGCTGGCAGCATCCGAGGCAGCGCCTGCGGCGGCGTCCATCGCCGCGGACAGCACAAGGCCGGCGGCAGCATCAGCAGCCGCGTCTGAGGCATCATCCATGGCTGCATCGCGCGCGTCGCAATTCCGACCGATCCCTCGTGTTGGGATATTGTAGGTTAGCCTCTCTGGTCGTCACGGCTGAACCGGCGACAGAACGTGGGGAACCAGTAGCTTCCTCAGACGCCTGAGCATCTGAGATGCCAGGTCGAAGAGACGGCGTGCGAGACAAAGGTCTTGCCTTTGGTCCAGCGGGCGCGCGTGGCCCCACGATCTCGGCTTCGCCGTCGTGCTCAGGATCATTATTCCTACCGTTCATAA